AGTGGACCTGGGAAACCCCGGCTGGTTTTAGGGCTGTCCTCAGAGGAGGGACGACAGAAAATGAACTCTAAACACAAAGCACTAAACATGTCTAAGTATGAACAGAAGGCACATATGTTGTAGAATAAATTATGTATATATTTTTTTACAAAACTTGAACTTGCAGGCAAGCTTTGGTTGGGTTATTATTATTTTTTTTTCAACTTTTTCCAGAATGCTTCTCTCTAGGGAACAAGAATGTTTTTAATGGCATAACAAAGGCAAGAATCTGCCTTATTAATATTATTATAATTATTTTTTAGCTGCTGCTAACTACATGAACACAAATGGTTATTTTTTGTTGCAGTGTAGTTTTTATTTTCTCTTATGTAATTTAAAAAAAAAAAAAAGTCAGTGTTGAACTTTTTGGATTGAAAAGCTTGTGATCGCTTCAGAGAGGCCAATGTTGCCAGAAAGTCTAAACTCCTTTTGAGGCCAGTAGTTTGATAGCTAGAATCAATTTCTCTCTTTCCAATTACATAAGGGGCATTATGTAATATCAGGCCAATCAGTAGCCTCCAGCAAAATTATGATTTTTGAGAGGAGAATTTAATTCTCTAACGGAAAAAATGACATAAAATATATATATCTACATAGAAAAAGTACTAGGTTAAAACTACCTAAATGGATACCAAAGAAATTGCACAGTTTTGCACAGCGGAGTTTATTTAAAAAAAAAAAAGAAAAAAAAGAAAAAAAAAGAACAGGCTGCTTTAAACAAAAAAATTTCAAACCTCAGACACTTTTTTTTTTTAATTTTTAAACTTTTTTCTTTTCTTTTTAAGACCGTTATTTTGCACCTTATTCTAAAAACTTAAGACTCAGATCTAAAGTGAACTAGGACTCCTCCCCTTTCCACCTGCTTTTCTGTGGGGAAAATGATTTCTCTTCCTCTTTCCTAAGGAGAAAGGCAGGTGGGGGAAAGCAGACAAGCCAACTTCTGTCCCAGCCAGTCGCTCACCGAGCCGGGCTGCAGCAGAGGGTCGAGTGTTAGTGCAGACATTCCCAAACGGGTGCAGGACCCCCGCGCCCTGGAAGCTGAGCCATCCTCTGTGTCCTGCAGGCGTCTGACCCGAGCCCCTCGGCTGCCGTTGTGTTACCCCTCGAACCAGCCACGCGAAGCTGCAGATCGATGCTGGAGGCTAAAATGCTGTTGGAGCAGGCGTTTAGGCACCGATGAGCCGAGCGATAGATAAATCCCCGGGAAGAGGTTTGGAAGAGGAAGGGAGAGGGTGATGGAGAGGAAAAGAGAAAACTTTTACGCCACAGCACTTGGGAATGGCACAGGGATTGCAGCATTTTGTAAAAAAACTCTTCAGCAGGGCAAGGGTGTCAGGAACAGTGTATTTTCCATCTAGAGAGGGATTATTTGGGGAGGATGCGGCTGCAAAGCGAGGTCCATCTCCTGCCTCCTCTCCCCAGCCAACACTGAGCGAGTGGTCAGTGGGTGAGACGTGTCACCGAGCCCTGAGCAGATTTTGTGACCTTGAGTGAAGCTCTGGCTCGAGCGGTATTTTGGCTCCTTCACCCAGAAGGGTTTAAATTCTCTGTCTCCAAGATCAAGGAGACAGAGAACCTGCGCTTCACGCCTGCTCCCCGCGGAGCGAGGGGAGAGGGGTGGCGGTGGGGATGATAACCCTAGTCAACTCTTGCAGTATTGGATCACTGTATGCCATTAAAAAACAGCTTGTTCTAGGTCTAATGTCTTCTGCAAACGGATATCTGTGAAGGCCTCTGGCCCCTTCCAGCCCTGCCTGAAAGAAATGCCTGCAATGAAATGGTTTCTGATCAGATGGTAACTGCAGTGGGTGGGTTCGAAACTGTGGAAATTCGACATTGTAAACATAGATTTGGCTACTAGAGAGGGCAGATGATTAAGTGCAAGTACTAAGGCTGTTACTGGGGGGGGTGGGACATGAAAGAAAGAAAAGGCTGAACATACAAAGGTGATTTGATTGCCGTTTCTGGGTCAACAGTAGTGAAGACAACTGAGTGCTGCTAGTGCTGCTATTGTGATGTTCTTGTAAAAGGAAAATAACTAAACCAAAGAGTATTCATTGAAAACAGAGGGTGCATGAAAACGCAGCGGGGAAGGGATGGAAAGGGGAGGCTGACCAGGAGAATGGGGACCTGTTCTCCGGGTCAGCATCCCCCAGGTGCAGAGTGCTCCCACTAAATGATACTTGAGATATTTGAGGGAGGGATTAGAGATGGGGGACGGGAAATTGAGGATTCAGCTTGTTTCTTTAAAGCAAAAGAGGTGCAGAGGGAAAAAAAAACAAAATCCCCTCCCCCTTAACATTTCTGGTGCAGAGGTTTTGGGTTTTTTTTGTTTTGTTTTTCAAGTCAGTTTTTCAGAAATATTTTTAAAATGTACATTTTATAAAGTTTATCAAGTATTTTCATATTTAAAGCCAAATGTAAATAGAAGTCTGTAAAGGAGGACAAGGAGAAGAAGAAAAGGCCACAAAAAGTATAAATTCTGCTCGGCAGTCTCGGCTAGCTAGTACCTAGATGCTACCGGTTAGCATGACTTTTAGCAAATACTTGCAAGCCTTATAGGATTCCTAATGCTATGATCTTCTCTTTATTTATTTTTAAGCATGGACTTTTAATTTGAAAACATGTTCTAGTTACTGGCATTTTTAAAAGTTACCAGCTGTCCGAGTGCTAGTCTTGTCAAGGGTGTGCATTGAGGTAATCCATTACACTCTCTGCCGCATTCGTTTCCTTTTTTTTTAATAACCCTTTGTCTTTGCCGACTGACTCTTACATTGCAGAATTGCACTCAGCCTCTGGCTCTGGGAAGCTGCTAGAAAGAGACCTGCAATGTAGACTCCATGGTACCCTTCCCCTTAGTCCATCATTTCTGTGTTTCTCAACACCCCGTGGTAAGCCCGGTATAGGCCAGACTATTGTAGCACACTTCTACAGCAGCAAATTGGGCTAGTCGTTCTTAAAAATGTTATTTTTAAGGACTACATAGTGACTGACAGCGTTTCTTCAGTTCCTGATGATCCTGGGCCGGGCTGATGCTTAATTAGGGGCCCTTTAAACTGACTGAGCTCTACCCACAGGCTCCAATAGACATCGGTTCAGCCTCTTCATCATGGATGAAGTTGGCTCAACTGGCTCGCACAGAAGGTTTATACTGTATTTCGCTAAGGGTCTGGGGAGGAATATGTTATTTCTGCCCTTCCCTGAAAATACTTGAATGAGACACATTGTCTAACACATAATACTGCGTACAGTGACAAAAAGCATTTCCGAGGCAGGTGGGGATGGATCTCTGCTTTCCTGTCTCTTCCGTGTGAGTTGTCCTTGGTTAGTAGCAAGGGTAGAGATCATCACTTATCAGCTGTGTTTAATGATACTCCCGCCCAGCCTTGATAAACTTCCGTGCTGTTAGTTTAGCACTCGCTCTTCTCGGAAAAGACAAAGGGTCCAGATATTATATTTGTTCTCTTAGGTCTTCTTTTTCATAATGGATTACAAGGTAAAACTGAGAAGTACTGTAATGTCTTTAAATTATGGCTGCTCACGACCATTGTAAAGTAGAAGGGTGCTGCATAGTTGCCATCCCACAGCCCACGAGAAACTGATTTTGTAATGACTTTTGGCCTGCAGCTATTGTGAGGTGAACAATCGAGGCATCTGACAGTTGTCCATTACTATTTTCCTGTTTGCAGCCTTTTTGTATCAAAGTCTTCCTAATGTACTGCACAAATTGTGGATTGTACAGATTTTTATATATTATGTCTTATTTTATTATTTCTAAATAAATAAAAAAAATTGAGAACGAACTGATGCGTGCAGCGTGTATGTGTGTGAGGTGGGGAGATGGGGCTGGGGGTTACTGTACAGCTGTGTTTATGGTGCTCTGGGCACAGCCAGCGTCTGAAGATACAGGTCGTTCTCTCCCTTGACAAAAGGCAGGAGGAAAGGTGATACCATCATTATTTCCCAGATGAGAACACGAACACCGTGCAGGGTACGGCAACTTGCACCAAAGATATGCCCCAGAGAGACTGAGGGACTTTCTTAAGGTCATACCAGGAGCTGCTGAGCTCCAGATCATTAGTTACGTGTTGTATGAAATGGAAAAAAAAGCTCCCAAGTCTGCATAAACCACAAAGCAGGGGAAGTGGGGCGGGAATGAAAACACAGGGCATAAGCAAGCGCATTGAAAGATTTGGAAAGGGATTAAAAAATTAAGCAGGAAACTCATCTTCAAATCCCCATGCTTCATGTCTGCCTGGAACATCCCCTTATTGAAGTGATGCTCCTCAGCTCAGCTCAAATCCAACTCGCTGTAATCTTCATTCGTGCCTCGTTTGCCTGGAGTCCCGAGCCTGATGCCACAAGTGTGGAGCTGGGTTTTGCGTAATGGGACGGGGAAGCGCAACCGGGACGGGCCTCGAGTAACTGAAAAGAGATTCAATGCCCTTACTTGTCTGGGTTGGAGAGGTCCTTTCCCCCATTTGTGTGTGGCCTCCAAAGCAGATATTGAGGCTGCACAATGGTGACTCAGCTCCAAACTGCTGATCTAACCGGAATCAGACACGCTGCAACGGCTGAGGACGACCGTGAAGCATTTCGACACAGTTTTGACCCCTCTGCTGCTTTTACAAATGTTTTATCAGTCTGTACAGACATTAAATGATGCCTCGGATGGAGCCCTGACCCTATCTAGAAGGACTCAATTTATAAATTCAAATTTACTTTTCAAATCTAATGGTCTCTTGGAAAGCTTATAATAATAATTACTGGGCTGGATTTAGAGATACAGATTAGCTGTCACAGCCCGGATCTGC